ATGCGATGAGAATGTGGATGTCTACAGAAATCGATTAATATATAACATATAAGGCGCAACTTATGAGCTCAACTTTTACTTCTGATATATATCTCTAATCTGAGAGACCATAGGAGATCATAGACAAAGATTACAGTAATGGTTGATCATAAGAGATCATAGGCAAAATCGTCTTGACTACGAGGCTCCATCAAAAACTACATTTTGCTCGTCTTACTTGTGGCGTAAAACGAGAACACGGAATTATCGGAATCGGCGACCACTAGTAGTTCGTTTCTCCCCATCAGAAGAGACACCGCTCGATTCAACTCACTTTTGATGTCGCTACTTCCGGTGCTTGTTGTGCGATTGTTCGTATAATATTCAAAATATCCAAATTGAATTCGTGTTGTCTGGCGAGTCCTGTTCTTGTAAAAGTATGAATAGGAGCGGTATTTGTCGCTGAAGAAGGTCTGGGTCGAAGGCGTAGCAGCTTTTCCAGTTCGTTGGCTGGTAATTGGTGGACTTTTTTTTACTATTGAGAAGTTGACTGCCCTTATCGACGAGGAGCACTTTCGTCCGCCATTCTGTCGAGGATAGCGTCCACACAGCGACCAGGAATATACCGGAATGAGAGCGTTTCGTCAGGTCATCATCTCCACGCGACGCGTGACCTGACACGCCTATTTCGTAACCGTAGGATATGCCCTCGTTCAGCCAATGCAGTTTATAGTATTTCAAGGGAGTCTCGTCTACTGCTACCCCAAGCTGCCCAGAAGTTTCTTCTACTTTCTCGCATGGTTACTCTCATTACTAGATAGGGGAAGACCGCTTCACTCTCACAATACTTTTTGATCTTCACCTTTTTACACTGCACGCCTCTCAATTTCAATGTTTTCGATAGGCTTCTACATAGACCCATCCGACATTTTGAAGTTAATGACAATCAGTTGTCANTTCAGTTCTCTGATGAGAATGTTGATAACCTGTGAATTAAGGCCTGGCATTGAACACGCCAACGCCTCTTCTAGCTGCCACGCAACCCGACCTCCCTTGAAACAAGCTAGGCCTAACTTTCGTTGATAAAGAACTCTTCAGGAGTCAATTACAGACAATTTATTTCAGGGAATAAAAAGCAACCCTTTGTGAAAAGGCCGTCAAAAGCAGGAAGTCGTATCTTCCAATCTGACTGTCACCCATTCGAATCGATTCAGCTTGGGCGATTCTTTGTCAGTGAGAGTTTAGGAACATCATGAAAAACTGCTACGATCAGCTCAAACCCCACAGCTACAGGTCTAAAATAGCGAAACAACTCAGGTCTCATGGTCCCGACAAAACTGGAGAGTGCCGTGCCCAAAGACAAATTATGTTCGTATATGCCGGCGCTCAAACAGTCTCATCTATTGCATTTCATCTGAACATGATGGGCATAGGTATGAGCTTTTGAGCTTTGTTTAGCTAAGGACTGAAGAGGACTTCTTCAGGTACGTGTCTACGTATATGGTCCCAATTCCATTTATAAATGGGATTTATGTCAACGGGCGTGATGTCTTCTTAAGGGTGAGTGAACTGATTTGCCTTCAAAATGTGGTTGGATGTAGGGCCAGGATGGACCGTATTTTGTACGAGTCACTTGAAAACGACCTGAAGGGAAAAGAACTGGAACCATATTTGGCACCTTTCCTTGTGCATGCCTTGAATCGTATTCCTCTTTCCGACTCTACCTCGTAAGATGGGCGGTGCAGTTGTGCCACAAGTGACCTGCTGTTTTCAGTCCTCGTAAATGTGCACGACCTCCTATGAGCTGGAGTTTTGCAAAGCCCTGATCTAACAGCCACATCTTCCAAAAGAGTTTTGTGAAGATTTTTTTAAAACATGGGACTAGTAGCGTCTCTGAACCCTGGGATTATCGAAATTTGATGTTAAACAGGAGGAGCTGATGAGAAGAACAGATCTTACAGCTCGTCTCATGTGCCATGTTCGAATCATGCCTGTGTGATGGTAAAGACGTTAATTTCGATGTAACGGATGGCGAGCGATCAAACGCTCTCCTTCACCACATTGTTTTTAGGTGGGTTCGAATCCTACTCGGTCACACACTTGCATAACGTCAGATTTGATCTCCTGAACGGGCCACTCTTCACTGGGTTAGACGATGGAAGATTTGATGGGAAGGCGGAGGTCGTAGGAGCCAACGCTTGTCAGACAGCCTGTGGCGCTCAGAACGGCTCTCCTGAACCACCGAGCATCTCCTCAGAGCAGCTTACTTAGCATTAAATTTGCACGGCTTGCCTTCGTGTGGGCGAGGCCTGAAATGAATCCCAACTTGGTTCAGGTGGGATGCCCATGCATTCTGTGAACGATTTCTGAGTTTGAATCGTGGGTATAATTCGAAACTATTTAAGTCGTTCAGTGACTTTTTTGAAGTGAGTTGTCCTTAACGAATCGACCGTCGCCCAATATTTTTCTTCAAAACATTTTCCTCTTGGTACCACTATTTTAAGGGCATTCCCGGAGTGTCATCACCAGATGAATTGCGGGCGAAAGCCAGGAGAATAGTTTCCCGAAATTCGCGCATCTTACCTTCGAGCAACAAATCAAAACTCTCAAGTCATCCACTATTATCTGGGAAACAATGGACAACTACGAAAACCGAAGGCACGAATGTTACCAAACCAGCAAGGACGACAGAAGGAAGCTCCAGTATTCACTTCGTGAATGAACTCGATCACAACATTGACATCATGAATGAGCAAACTCTACCCTCTGGATACTCCCTACAACAGATTCCTGACAACGAATCGACGATCGAGACACCGGGTCCGGTTGTCGGAATACCCGAGTTTTATCCGAGGACAGCTGCAAATAGCTCCTTCACGAATATGGATCGACGACTCAATACCGAATGTCAGTTACTTTTTTATCGTCACCGATTGCTCCTACAACTAGTTTTTCACCGATTTCTCCTATATACTAGTTCTTCCATGGTCTCTTCATTTGAAGGTGCTCTCATGGATGAAGGAACGAGCAGTGTTATGGGTTTTCCGTCTCCTATACAAGAATTTCCACGACTTCATGGCATTCCGATGGCTACTACGGAAGGTACACATTCATTTGTTAGCATTTGACCTTATTTCCTCGGTCGATCCTTGAGTTTCGTGAGTTGAATACTGACTTGGAGGTGTGCACGAGGAATCAGGGCAAAAAGTCTACACCTACAGTCAGTATGCAGTCAGCTATCAATGAATCCGTTTCGGCGAACTAGTCCCCAGAGAGGAAAAAAGTCGATCAACAGCAAAACGTCAAAATTTGACAAAAGTGGCTGGGGTTACTGTTAAAATTCTCGATTCGAAAAAGCTGGCTCTATTCCAGGAAGCCAGGAGAATTTCGAGATAAACTGTAATGATGGTGGAGGAGTTCCGTCGTTATATGTGCAACAAGAATATCGGTCTAAAGACGAGGTAAGCAGGAATCGTAAACGCTTGGAAGGCCTCTCAGACGATCCAATATTGACAGTTCATGCAAAGAGTGGTGATACAAAATCTTCCAACTCACATGCAATTCAGAACAGGGCGGAGATGTCGCCCATGTTCAAGCTGCCGTTTCAATTATAGGTGCTATGGTAAAACAAGGGGTGGCGCATTTGATCCCTGAACTCCCATGGTCACGCAAACGCACGCCACAGTATTCGAATAGTGGTCTCGCGGCTTCAAACTGCAGTGACTGTCTGATCCAGTCTCTATCTTTTTCGATCACCCAGTCAGCTTCAACTAAATTCTGCAGAATCGGTTGGTGCGGCACGAACGAGAACATACTCACTTATCCCAGAGTGCTGTTCCACAGCTGGGGAAGCGCTTTAACGCCTCCAACAATTTGCTCATATTTGGGTAAAGAGGAATAATATTAACACGGGCAAATGCATGTGCATTAGAAACCGGAATATGCAATCCCTATTAAGAATGGTTAAGCATACATCTGTGAACGTTCTACAGTTGTCAATGTCTTTATACGAACGCAGCTACGTCAGTGTCGTAGCGATGTCGTGCTTCTTGATAGTATGGACGCCAGGGTGGACATTCTGCCGTGCTTATGACAACATAAAACTTCTTTATCACTGTCGGCGTTCTAAGAGATGCAACTCTGATGCCACGGGTAGAGATAAGGAGCCTTGATCGTGATGCGACTGTGCATACACCTTGAAGGGTTATAAATTCCAAACAATTCACTCTCATCTAAGCAGAACGGATCTTCTAGAAGGCAATAAAGATGTGAAGTGAATTAAACGGAACATCATTTAGGAATTCAATGGCTCATTACCAGTTCGAACGGATCATTTCGACGTAACCCTCTGGCCACCGTCACCATACCACTATA